TCTCTGTCTGTCTCTGTCTGTCTCTGTCTGTGTCTCTGTCTCTCTCTCTCTCTCTCTCTCTCTCTCTCTCTCTCTCTCTCTCTCTCTCTCCTGATCTTTGTAGTTCCTTGGGAAATAGAGGTGACTTGGTGGTAGCGGTAGAGGGAAGGATGATGCAAGAACACTTCTTCAGAACTGGTGTTGAACTCACCTACTCTGAGTCCAGAGCTCACTTCCTCAGCTTGTTTCCTTGAAGGTGACTGTATTGGTCATCTTCCCGCTCCTTGAGGGGCTGAAGAGGACAGTGTCACCATAAGCTCTTGTTTCCATCCTTTGCTGATGCATTGATGTGTTCTTATTGCATGCTTTCTATGTGTGAGGCTTTGGGGTGGGTGCTTCATAGTCCTGCACTGACAGAGGACAGTGGCTGTGTCCACGCATCCCTCTTGGGTGCCCTGTAGCTGGTTCTCATTGGATCCTGACCTGGCCTCTCTTAGCTCTGTTCTTCATTCCTTCCACTCTGCCTAGAGGTATAACTATCTTATTGTCAGGTATGCTGTGCAGAGTTTCTTAACTGTGGAATGAATATATGATATGGATCTGGCCTCACTATGCATCTTGAACTCATAGTGATCCTCCTGTCTCAGGGTCCCCAGTGCTGGGATAACAGGTGTGCACCACCATGCCTGGGTCTGGGGCCAGCACGGCATGCAGTATTGAGGATCAAACACGGGTCCTTGTGCTTGCCAGGCAAACACTTAGACCATTGAGCTATCTCCTCAGCCTTGTGGAGTATTTTTGAAGTAACCTCCAAACTTTCACCCCCACTGGCAGTAGTAGGATTTTTTTTTCTGGCTCAGGCTGCCTTAAGGGCGGGCCTAGTAAGGCATGGGGAGCTGGGGGATTGAGACATAGTCTCCTGTGCCCGACTGGGTTTGCCCCAGCAGGTGTTTAAACAACTGAGCTAATCCACAAGCCCCCCCACTAGCTGTAGCAAAGTCCCCTTTGTTCCCCATCCCTTACCTGATAGAGCTGGTCATTGGGCAGGAGGGTCTGCTTGTCTGAAGCTGAACACAAAACGAACAAAATACATATGACAGAACTGTTAATACATTAGGCTGCATTTACATGATAAAATACTAAACGGCTTAAGAATCACCTACACTCAAGAGCGTGGATCAATCCTGCAGGCATATTGCTAAGTGAAAGAAGCCAGTGCAAGAATACTGCATGAGGCCTGGGGAGATAGCTCAGTGGCATAAGCTCCTGCCTGGCAAGCACGGGGTCCTGGGTTCAATCCCTGGTAACACACACACACACACACACACACACACACACACACACTACTGCATGAGTTCATTTTGGTACAGAACAAAAATATGCAAAATTAATTCCTGTGCTCATCCCTGGGGCTAGGCAGAGAAGAGATTTTCTTTCCTTTTTTTTTATGGGGGGGGGGAAGGAGTATTGATGGAGATGCAACCTAGGGCCTTCACATTCTGCTACATCCCTAGTCTTATAAATTTCTTTTTAAAAAATGTTTAATATGAGACAGGATTTTGCTGAATTACCTGGGCTGGATTTGAACTTGTGATCTTCCTGTTTCTGTCACCTAGAGAGCTGGGATTATAGGCATGTGCCACAATGTCTGGCTAATATTATCTCTTTCTTTCTTTCTTTCTTTCTTTCTTTCTTTCTTTCTTTCTTTCTTTCTTTCTTTCTTTCTCTCTCTTTTTGTGGAACCAGGGATTGAATTTAGGCCCTTGCACTTGCCAGGGAAGCACTTATTCTACTGATCCATCTCCCCAGCTCTTCCTCCTCCTCCTCCTCCTCCTCCTCCTCCTCTTCTTCTTCTTCTTCCTCCTCCTCCTCTTCCTCCTCCTCCTCCTCTTCCTCCTCCTCCTCCTCCCCCTCTCCCCTCCCCCCCTTTTTCAGTTGACTGCTGGATGCACAAGTACTTTAGCTTTGTTAAATATATTTTTGGAAGTTGGCTCTGGTGTTACACACCTGTAATCCTAGTACTCTGGAAGGCCAAGGCAGGAGGATCACATGTACAAGCCCAGCCTGGGCAATATATTGATTTAGCAAGACCCTTATTCAGGGAAGAAGAAAAAAAAAAAAAAAAAAAAGAACTAGGGATGTAGTTCAGCGGGAAGGTTCTGGGCTCAATCCTCAGTACTCTTAACAATAAAAATTATTTTTGAGCTGCCGGTCTGTGATTCACTTTTTGTATGTAAATGTTACTTCAGTAAAGGTTTCTTCGAAACACAGAGGACAAGCTAGAGGGAGCTGGACTGAGAGAAGGTAGTAAGCTGATATAACGCCAGAAGTCTTTTCTGCCCCATGGAAACAGTCTCATTCAGTTATGTGCATCTGGCTCTCTGGCTGGGTCTAGTTTGGTAAGAAGGAACCCCAGAGTCTCAGGTAGCCCCACCCTACAACTAACATTCACATTCTTTTACCTCTGGAGTGGCGAACTCCATCCTGTCCAGCGATGAAGTAGACCCCAACGGCAAGGAAGAAAGTGCTGATGAGCTCAACAAAGATAAAGCCGGATATGGTGTCTGGGCTCAGCTCAATGCAGTTCTGACACACTGTGGGGAACAAGGCACGTGCAGGGACAAGGCTCCAGCGGGACAGGACAGTTGTGCTTCTGGATCTTTCTCTCCTCCTACTAGCAGCAATGCCTCTGTCTGGGGCAGCAGGCGCTTCCCTGTGCGGGTAGCTTGACAAGGGAAGATCCATGAACCCAGGCCTTGATGTACCTTATGGAAAGGCCCTGGTGTGCTCAGGCAGCCTTACAGCCAGGAGCTGAGCAGAGCCGAAGGGAGACTGGATCTCAACTGCCTTCCTTTCCTTGCTGCTGCTGCTTACCTGTGATCTTCTGCGTTTCTCCTACCCCACCTCAGCTTACAGAAATTGCTCAACTGCCCCAATGTATAAGGCCTATCCAAAGATAAACCACTTTTTACTGGACTGGTTAGGCACTTCCAAGAAGCTGAGTGAGCATTCTGTTTGTTTGTTTATTTTTGAGGGGCTCGGGAGATAACTCAGTAGAATAAGCGCTTGCCTGGTGAGTGCAAGGTCCTGAGTTCAATCCCCAGTACCGGAAAAAAAAAAAAAAAGATTTCTACCTATTTATTTATTTATTTTAATTTTTACAAAAATTTATTTATTTTTTTTTTGCGTGTGTGTGTGTGGCCAGCTCAGCCCACCAGGGGGCGGGGCTGGCTGGCTTGTGGTGCTGGGGGATTGAACTGTGGTCCATGTGTTTTGCTAAGCTTGTTCTAAGTAGGTGCTTTAGACCACTGAGCCATCTCACCAGCCCCTACCTATTTGTTTTTTTTTTTTTAAATAAATTTATTTATTTCTCTGTGTGTGTGTGTGTGTGTGTGTGTGTGGCCAGCTCAGCCTACCAAGGGGCGGGGCCGGCTGGCATGTGGTGCTGAGGGTTTGAACCGCGGTCCCTGTGCTTTGCTTAGCTTAGCTTGTTTTAAGTAGGTGCTTTAGACCACTGAGCCATCTCACCAGCCCCTACCTATTTGTTTTTGAGACAGCATTTTGCTATATCGTTCAGGCTGGTCTTGAACTCACAGCTATCCTCTTGCTTCAGCCTCCTGAGTGCTGGGATTAAAAGGGGTAGGCCACCATGGCTGGCTTGTCTTGCTATACTTAAGCAGGACAAGCAGATGCAGAGAACTGGCTGTGACCGTAAATCATGCTTGACATCTACTTCCATCCTAAGCCTAGACAGTAAGCTGGCCAAAACAGACAGTAATGCTTAGTTTCATAACAAATAAGCAAACCAAATGAGAGTACATACTTCTGTAATACACTTGGAGTTTCTCTGAAGTCTGCTTTTCTGTTTGACACTGGTAGGTCCCTTGGGGGTCCTTGGTACTACTTCCCAGGTTCCATGTGTTTTTGTTTGAATCTATGGAACTGATCCTACTCCCATCTTTAAACCATGTGATGTTTTTGTCTTCCAAGTTACAAAGCAGAAGTACAGAACCATCTTCTCGTTTGTCATCCACTTGTAGCAAGTCTTTCTCTGAAAAGGTAAAAGCCAACATTCTGCTATGAGTTTCACCCTGCCTCAGGGGACCTGCCAGGAGGAGACTATTAGAGCAGTGTTTCTCAGACTTCACTGTGCACGCAGACCACGTGGGGAATCTTGTTAGGATTCTGGTCCTATCCGGCAGTTCCTGTCGGGTGAGATTCTGCCTTCCTAGGTGCCAATGCTGTTGGTTCACAGGTCACACTTTGAGACTAGGGTTCTATCCTTCCTTCCGGGTGCTGATAACTAATTGTTTAGTTACAGGAAAGCTGCCCAGAGCAGGTCAAGACAGGACACTGATTTCCTTGGCAAAGGAAATAGCAGCAACGTACTACCATCATCTTATCCTTTCTAAATTATTTGTTTCTATGGAACTACTATTGTAGGAAGCCACATTTCTCTTTCTTCCTTCCTTCCTTCCTTCCTTCCTTCCTTCTTTCCTTCCTTCCTTCCTTCCTTCCTTCCTTCCTTCCTTCCTTCCTTTCTTCCTTCCTTTTTTCCTTTTGTCTTTGTTTTTGACACATTGTCTCTCTGTATAGTCCAACTGGCAATGAACTTGCTATCTAGCCTAGGTGGATCTTAAATTTATAATCCTCTTGGTTTAGCCTCTAAAACCAAGAATTATAGATGTATGACCTCCTTGGAGCAACATTCTATGACTTTCCTCAGAGATTAAGAACAGAAAGAAGTGGTTTCTCCTACCTAGTTTCTCCTGGGCCTTGGTACCTGTAGAGACAGAAGCAAGATAGAAGGTTAGTTGTGCATGAAGTGGCTCCAGTTCACTGGGGGATTCCTGTGGTGTTTGAAGTCAAGATCAAGAGAGGTCCCAACCCATGGAAATGACAGTATCTGTACCTAATTTCATCAAATTAAAATCAAGGAAGAGTTAATTTGGTCTCTGATTTCCTGGGTGGGAGTTTCTAAACTCATGGGATTTTGTGAGTACTGAGAGTGCCTTGTTTTTCATGGAGAACCCTTAGATCAGATGAAGTTTTGCTAAGGAAATGACTTATGGGGCTGCTCAAGAATAACCATACAATTAGAGGACTGGGGCTTTGAGCCACTGATAGCAGCCCTGGGAGGGGAGTGGCTAGAGGTTAAACTCAGTTAAGTGACAAGTAATTCAATCAATTACGTCTGTGTACATAAATAAAAACTGATGGAACTTCCTGGTCGGTGAACACATCAATGCGGGGACAGGCGGTGATGTGTTCTGATTCCACAAGGAGAGTGCAGGACCCTCTCAACCTTGTTCGTCTTTTCATTTGATTGGTCTTCATTTTATTTTTTATGTAGTAAAGCTATGTTAGTAAAGTGCTTTCCTGAGTTCTGTGAGTCATTCTAGCAATTTACCAAACTTCAGATTTGAAAAGCACCAGGATGTACAGCCAATCTGTCAGAAGTCTGAGTGGCCCAGGGATTGCTGTACTTGTGGTTGGAATCTATGCGTGTGGCAATCTTGCTGGGATTGTGCCCTTAATCTGACACTAACTCTGGGGAATCAGTATCAGAACTGGATCGCAGCACCTGGGAAAGTATTACCTGTACCATTCAGAATGCTCTGCTCCTTTAGCCCCTGGAGCTTGGGCAAGGAGTGGGCATACCCTAGATGCAGCTGTATTTGGTTTCATTTTGCTTAGTTTTTTTGAGACAGGGTCTTGAGTTCAGGCTGGCCTTAAACTCACTGCTCATCCCACCCAGGCTGGCCTTGAACTCTCTTCAATCCTCCTGCCTCAGTCTCTCAAGTGCTGGGACCATCGGTGTGTGCCACCACACCTGGCGACACAGTGATTTATTTATTTATTTATTTATTTATTTATTTATTTGTACTGGGAATCGAACTCCTGACCTCATGCTTGCCAGGCAGGTGCTGTGCTGCTGAGCTACATTGCCAGCCTGACACAGGTCTTTTAGAGCTGAGTTATTTCTAAAATATTCAGCCATGGAAACCTATTTCTTGTAGAAATCCTAGGTGTCCCTGGGAAGTTAGCTATTCAAACTGTCCTCAGCTTGAGTAGTATAGTGACGTTGTAGCATACTACAAAGACCTACCTCTTAAGTCCAAGTGGATATTTTTCTATTTCTTTTCTTTTCTTTTTTCTTTCTTTATTTTTTCTATTTCTTTTAATAAAAATTTAGCTTTATTTGTATATGTTTGCAAAATATAATGTTTGTATTCTTTGTGGCAAGTTGGTGCATATACATAACTCATCTTAATTCCTTTTTTAATCCCCTCTTCCCTTTCTCCCTCTGCCTGCATCTCTCAATCTCTTTGGTACAGGATCTCACTATGCAGCTCAGACTCGTAGTGATCCTCCTGTTTTCAGTCTCCCCAGCACTGGGATTGCAGGCATGTGCCACCACGCCTGGTGTTGGTGGCCCGCTCAGTGCACCTGGGGATGGGGCTGGAATGGTATATGGTGCCGGGTTTTGAACCCTGGTCCCCTGTACTTGCCTAAGCAGGCCGTTAGTCCTCTGAGCTATCTCACTGGCCCAGGACCTACTTCCTTATTTCCTATTATCTATCTTTTATTTTGCTTTATTTATATTTTGGGCTTCTTGTATAAGAGAAACCATGTGATTCTTAAACTTGTGTGTCTGATTTATTTTTTGATGTTTTCTGGGTGAATCCATTTTCCTAGAGGTGATTCAAGTTTTTCTTTATAGAATAGTACACCGTGTACCAATACTATATTTTCTTTATCAATTCATTTGTTGCTTGACATATAAACTGCTTCTAAGATTTAACTATTATAAATTGTGCTGTTATAAACATAGGCATGAGGGCCAATAATATAGCTCAGTGGACGAAGTGCTTGCTTAGGTAAGCGCAGGGGCCAGGGTTCGATCTCTGGTACCACACGCCATGCCAACCCTGCCTCCGGGCGCACTGAGCCAGCAATGGAGTTCAAGTATGGTGGTGCATGCCTGCAATCACAGCACTAGGGAGGCAGAAATCAGGAGGATCATTATGAGTCCAAACTGCATAGTGAGACCCTGCACAAACACAAACAAAAAACCTTAAAAAAATAAACATAGGTATTCACATATGATGGTAGACCCAAACATTTTATGAGAAATATTGTTATTATTATTTTTTAAAATATGGAATGCTTCATGAATTTGCATGTTATCCTTGCACATGGGCCATGCTAATCTTCTGTGATTTGTTATGAGAAATGCTATGATTAGGCATTGTGAAAGGAGAGAGTGGTGACATCACTAGTAGTACTCTCTAAAACTTGGTAGTTGCACTTCTAAGGAATTTAAAATTAAGTGGATAGGCCCAGGGAGATGGCTCAGTAGAATAAGTGCTTGCCTGGCAAGCGCAAGGGCCTGAGTTCAATCCCAGGTTAAAAAAAAAAAAAAGCAGAAAAAGGGACATATATCATTAACATAATAGAACTTACTATTTTTTAGTACTTACTTGCATGCATAGAGGAGGGAATGCAAGGTACTGGTTTTGCCAGAGGGGGAGATTCAAAGAAAGCTTAATAAAGAAGGTGACATTTGGGTGGATCTTGAAGAACAGGTTAGAATTCATTGAACAGAGAAAGATTTTGGGTACCATACGGTAGCTGAGCAATTTGAGAAAGGCCAAGAGAAATTTTTGCAGGCAGTCAAGTTAGATAGAAATATTATAGGCAGTCAGACAGGGCGAGGCCCTCCAGGAGACAGCACGGAAGACAGGATACCTTGCAACTGTAAGAGGCACGGACGCTCTTGTTGTGGGCCAGCCCAGAGACCAAAGACCCAACAAATGCTGACCTCCCTAGAGATAAACATCCAGGATTGATCATCACCTTGAGGAAGCCAGGAAAAGTCACTAATCCAACTGCTACTGGCTACTGGACAAGGTCCTGTTCCATATTCAGGCCTGCTTGCTACATGACTCGCTTCCCCATTTGCTGCTGGATTTATCAATTTTACTTGAGCAATGGTGCTTGTAATTTTATTGATTGACCACAGTTTTGTCCTACCTCATTCCCACCTAAGCAAGTTCCCATGTTCTCCACCTTAGACCCGCCTCATCATGTGCTTTTACTCTATGAAAATCCCTAGAAGAGACAGTTTCCAGGGGGGAAAACCCACTTGGGGGCCCCTTCTGTCCCTCTTAGACAGAAGCTTATTTTCCCAGTAAATATTCTGCTTTTAACCTCTGTTTGTTCCTAAAATTCATTCTTTGGTTTTACAGAACACGAACTTGTCTAGGTACCTTTCAGGTCGGGAGTTTCTTTTCTGCTATATCAAAATAGCGTGGCTAGAGGTGGAGCATTGGTGGGGAGAGGCGGGGGGGGGGTGGAGGGGACACTGAAAGGTGTCAGCCGGCTGAGAGCTTGGTGCAGGGCTGAGCTGTTTATGGATGGTGTTCACGCACAGTGCCAAGGATAGAACAGGAGCTTTATGTCTGTTGAGTCAAACCATAAATGGATAAAGCCATGAACAGGAAAGAAAAAGCTAGCAATTCAAACAGATTCCTTACTATCTCTTCTCTCCAACTACCAAATTAGTTCAAAAGGACAATCACAAAGGGACCTCAGATTCCACAGGAAAGGACAGGGCACTGATGGCTGATATTGAAAAGCTCTACGTGTCTGTGTTGTTTCCTTCTAGAACTTGAGCACGTGTAAAGCCAAATTTCTGGATTGAGCAGAGTAGAAACTGAGCCAGAGAGCCAAGCGCTGTTCCGGTGCACGCAACTCCATGGCGGCGGAGCCGGACCCAGAGTCCATGCTTGCTACCGCTCAGCCCAGCCAGTGCTCTTTCCGCTTCACCCACGGCCTTGTCATGCTTTCAGCACTGGCCTCCTGCCTGCTTTCTTCAGGGGGCTCCTTCTCCCTTTTCTTTCAGAAACACTTCTACGCTGCACTGTCTCCTCGCAGTCTCCCCCTCAGCGGTCCCCAGCTCTGTCTCAGCCGGTGGCATTGCCTCCCACCTGCTTTTTGCGCATTCAGGTGTCGTGAGGGCCCTATGTTCTTGGCTTCCTTGTTGTGTACAAGCCCACCATGGCTGGAGCTGGCTGCACTTCCTTTCCTGTGCCTCAGAGATTACACTGATCTCCCCCTCTGTGCCCTCAGAGCCACTTAGCTCTGTCCTCTCAGCATCAGTTCCAGACCTTGCTCTACTCTTCTCTGCTTTAGACAGAAATGTGCTCCAGTTTCTCTTATCCTCCAAACAATTTCCTTTTTCTTTGTTTCTTTTTTGTATTTGAGATAGGGTCTCGCTATGCAGCTGAGGCTGGCCTTGAGCTCACTTGGTAGCCTTTCAAGGCTGGTCTCGAATTCATAACAATCCTCTTGCCCCAGTCTCCCAGAGCGCTGGGATTACAGGTGTCCATCATCACTCCTGGTGAAAAAATTTCTTAGGTTCTCCTTCTTTCTCTACCTATGACTCCAACTTCCTTTCCAGAATAGTCTAAACTGGGGCTAGGAAGATGGCTCAGTGGAATAAGCGCTTCCCTGGCAAGTGCAAGGGTCTGAGTTCAATCCCCAGTTTCTGAAAAAAAAAAAAAAAAAAAAAAAAGAATAGGCTAAACTTGCTGCTCTTTGTCACTTGCCCCTTACCTTCTACTCGTCTATTTGGCTTCCACACACACTACCCCACCAAAACTCTTTTAAATCACCCACAACATTTATTTTGTCAAATCTCACAAACAAATTTTAAAGATATTCTTACTTGAGTGAGCCCTGCTTAACTCTGAGACTCTTGGTAATTTCCTCCCAGAAGCTTTCTGCTTCCCTGGTTTCCACAATCACTCATGTGATTGTTATAGCTCTTTGATCATGCTTTGATCTCTGAGACTTTTTCTCTAATTACCCCTTAAAATATGATGTCTTATAGCTCTACACTCAGCTCCATCTTCCTCAGATATCACACAGCACTTGTGTTATTTCCAGAACATTTATGGCGTCAGCTTCCTCAGATGCTTCTGGAGAACAGGCATCAATCTTAGTTCATCCACTTCCTGTTGGATCTTTTGAACTGGACATTTATACAAGCACCTCATATTGTACCTTGTGCTCAGTGCGGCCACCCTGGAATGTAACTCTCTAGACTATGAGCTTTGAGAGCAAAAACATGTTATTCACCTTTTTACCCTTCTGGGTATTGGGATCTCATCAATACTTTTGGTCAGTGGACCACCTGACCAAGTAAATGAGTAAATACTATTGTTAAATCTAGCTCTAGAGCAGACAACACATCTGTTTTCCTCTCAGTTTCTTTGCCGGCACCACTTGGGGCTATGTTTAAGCCTAAAATGGCGGCAGCAGGGTCTTACTCTGTCTCACTACAGTTTCTCTTTTGATTTCTCAGAGAGAAGGATCTTATCTCTGCTTTGGGTTCTGCTTCTCTGCAGTAGGGAACAGTGAGAGGTTTAAGCTCTGCCTCTCTTTTGAGTTCTAAGGTGGCAGCTGAGGTCAGGTCAAGGTTAGGATTCCAATATCCCCATCTTCTGGGAGACAGCCTCTTTCCATACTCCCTTGCTCAGACTGTCAGACCCCATAGCGGATTCTTACCTTGCAGAAGAATGACCACCAGGATAAGGCCAGCCAGGCCCTTCCCCCGCTCCATGTCAGTCTCTGTCCTTCCCAAGTAGAAGTGCAGAGCAGCCCCTCCTGGCCAGCATCCTGCGCAGCACCTACTCTGGCTCCGCCCAGCACCCTTTAGGCTGGGCCCCAGAGAGAAGCAAGAACCCATGGTCCCCACCCTAGCTTTGACTGTGGCCTTCAGGGGCCTCAGCAGGGCTGCAGGTGTGAGTGTCTTTTGCTTTTCCGTTAAAGGGTGCAGGGTGCGGGAGGGAGGGCTGGGTTCCCATGCAGAGACTAGGCTTGACTTGAGAACCACTTCAAATGCTGGGTTGTGGGATGAACCTGAGCCCGTTTCCAAAGGAAGAAGATAAATGTTCCCACACCCAGTTGTGGCTAGGATCACTTGTCACTTCATCCTAGTACTAATGACTTTAGGGGTTGGGGCTGCACATGGAAAAGCATCTCTGTCCCAGCCTTCACTAAAGGTTTTTCTTACTCTTCTTTTGAGATCAGCAGAGTGGTGTTTGCCTGGAAGCGAGTAAGTGGGGCAATTCTAACCAGGCAGTCAGCACATTTCTCTGCAATTCTAACCAGGCTGGGGGTGAGGGAGTAGGGGTGGGTAGGCAGGGCCTACCCTGAGTTTTCAGGATCTCAGGCTCCTGTGTCCCTTAGCCAGTCAACAAATCAATAAGGCACATAATTCCCTAGTGCTGGGTACTAGATGAAACAGTAAACAAGCTGACATGGCTGTTCTCAGATACAGGACACCCCTCCACAGGGGGTGGGGGAGGTATGGATGGGGAGGCAACTGGGGGTTGCAGATTCCCTGTGGCCATGGTGTGGTGCGGGAGGTCCATAGTCTCTCTGGGAAGTTCAAATTTGCCTTGAGTCAATTATATTGTTATTAAAAGCTACTTCATACAAATCCTATTAGTGTGGGGACAGACTCTAGGTTTTAAAAATCTTTTTAATGGAACTCCAAAAATTAGGCCCAGGGAAAAAAATCTCTGACTGGCCCTGTGGGTACCAAGTATAGGAGCCAGGATTCACATTTCTGATGTGTGTGGCTTGAAAGTCCAGCTTCCCCCTGGCTAGCAGCTGCTTCCCCTGATATCCAAGCTGCCCAGTAAAGGGTGCCAAGAAAGGCCAGCAGTAGAAGGGACCTAGCTGAACGCTTGTGCCTTGGGGCTCATGGCTTCTCTTAGGGGCTTTGAGAGGTAGCAGGGTTTTTTTGGTTTGCTTGTTTTGAGAAGAAATAGTTTTTAGGTGAGAGATAAATGTACTTATGTTGCCAATGGTGACTCTGAAGTTCTCGTTTTTTGTTAGCGAACCAGGAAAGACTGTCCTAAAACTTCTTTTTAAAAGAAGTTTAAAAGTCTAGGTAATTTTCTCCATACTTGTTGCTGCAGCCCCACCCTCACCCTCTCTGCTCAGAGAAAGAACGATTTGCACCTGCTTCCTTCCTCCCTGAGGGCCTTTCATCACAAAAGGCAGAGAGGCAGACATCTTCTAGAGCCTCCACTACGCTTCACTTTTTCCGCATACCCATGAGTCAGTTGGACGAGGGTAGTCCTTCACCCGGCCGCAGTTCCGCCATCTAGCTCTGTCTACTGCATGAGTTCTGCTGAAAGATGCAACATAGCAGCTTTCTGACTGGCCTGTTCCTCGCTGCCCTGCTCCCTCAAGGTAAGTAAGCCTCCTCCAGGTGGAGGAAAGGACCAATAAGGGACATTAGCATCAGGAGTGAGGTCCAAAGGAGGATGATGCACAAAGCTAACTGCAATCCACCAACCACTCCAGGCAGGACTGCGACGGAGGAAACAGATGCTTGCCTTCCACCTACTCTGGCCAGGGAATGTGTTGGCTTTGAATGTCTTTCGGATGGCCTTTGGCCCAGGGTCGGTGGCACTGGTGCAGTATGTGTATGGATGCGCCTAGGGCTAGCAGGGGGAGCGGAGCTACACTTATTGCTGCTTCTACAGCAGATGGCTTCAGGGGTCCGGACTCCTGCGCATTTGGCCAGCATTGTGTAACCACTTCAGGGAACACTTTATGACAAAAGATATATTTGGGGGTGGGGAAGGAAATGATTGCTACTCAGTAGCCTGCCAACTCATCACAGTTTGCCTGTCCTCCTCCCCCTACTAGCTTTCCTAGTTTTAAATCTGAAAATTGCAGTTACTTGAGAGATTGAAGTAGAAGAACAGTTTGAGACCTGTCTAAGCAACATAGAGACCCTGTCCAAAAAAACAAAAAAACAAAAAAATGCCAGGGAGATAGCTCAGCAGTCTAAGCTCCTGCCTGACAGGCACAAATACCTGGGTTCAATCCCCAGTACTTAATGCTATGCCAGCACCATGCTGAGCCACCCACCAAAGCTAGGCATGCTATCGCATGCCTGTAATCCCAGCACTGGGGAGGCTGTGACAGGAGGAGCGCTATGAGAACCCATACCAAATAAATAAATACATCTTTTTTTCCCCCCACAAATTTATTGAGAAACAAATAGCAATGAGACAGTTTCAAACCAAACTGGTAGGACAGTTTCAATAATTAACACATTGTATACATACTTCCTAGAGGTTAATTGCTGTACGAGATGCAGACATGATATCCTACTTACATACACCATTAGAACAAATCCCTCTATTCATTAAGAGAATGTAACTGTATATCAATTCCAGCCATTTTAATACACAGATACAAACTGGACATTCATCAGCATCCCCTTTTTGTTGTTAAGTTCCGTTATTTGATTATTATAGGTGTGTAAACTCAGCAAAATATTCCAAAAGAGTCCAGCATCCCTTAATAGTGTTGGGTCTTCTGCTTGACTGGCAATGTCAGAAATTGCTGACCTGAGTCCCCTACAGCTCAACATAACAGCATGGCTTTACTTCTTTTATTTCGTTTTTATACTTTTCTGCTGACTGGTTAAGACCAAGGTAAAGCAGGACCTATGCAACAACAGTTGTAGCTTTTGGGTCTGATAAGGTCAGTGAAATCCCCTCAGGATTTATCCTGAGATCCTGTACCTCAGATTGTAGAACCTTTATCAATGTCAGCCATGTGGATGAGTCACGGCCATTGCTTGCCAGTGTGCTCTCTGTGAAAGCTTGAGAGAATGTTTTCTCTCCATGTGACTCTCCTTAAGCACACTCTACATCATCGATCACTTTCCTCTTTGGCCCCATAATCTCCTTGATCACAAAATTTGGGATACTACTGAGTTATATGATGTTACAGTACAAGTTCTCATATGTCCTGAGTCTTAATTGACCTTAGAAGGCTAGGGTCAAAATGTTGGCTTTCCTTGCAGCCCTCCTTTTTCTCTAATTTTGGCCTGCAAACTTAGGTTGTTAACCATCCAGAAGACAAGCTTATTGTTATTACCATACAACTTAGGCTGTTAAGCTTAACCTCACTATCTGTCTGCATATCAAACATCTTAGGCATAATATGGAACAGGTATTTTTCATCAAGTATTGATATGTTGAACTTTAAGTCCCTACAGAATATAATAAAAAACATTTAAAAATTAGAATATATTTTAAAAATAGGCATAAAGAATTATATACTTCTTATGTTTACACATAAGTCCAAAAATCTCATCATATACAACCTTAAAGCAGGACAGTCCCACAATGTTCCTTTTCCTGTCTCTTGCTTTCATTCACCACCCCCTACTTTTTGAACAACCATTTACCCGAGAGACATCATAGCAGCAACTGTCATGTCATGACAAGCAGCCCATATTCAGAAGACCAGAATGACAGGCTCTCCAAGCAGGAAACTACTATTACAAATAACCATCTGCAGTGCAGTAGCTTAGTTCAATAAATAAATCTTAAAACAAAACTGAAAACTGAACTGGGACATAGCTCAGTGATTTGTCCCCCCCCCAAAAAAAAAAAAAACCCACCCCAAGTCTCTGTAAAATCCCTTGTTTCTGGAACCTCATCCCCAACTACGTCAAATGATTAACCTAGTATTTGCACTGGGACCCACAAAATTTTCACTGGAAACAACTCCAAGAATGACTATAAAAGGTGAAGCGGTTGATGTGAGTCTCCCTCAGTGCACGCAGAGAGTCCTGCCCTGATCCAGAGGCAAACAAGCAGCTATTTTACAGTTTTCTGGAAGATGCTCTTGTGTCCAAATTGTTGCTGCCTATGGTGCTCAGGGTGAGTTTCCTGGGGAGAGCAGTGTGGATGTCAGTGCCTCTGGGGGCTGTGGAGTCTCTCTCGGGCTGTGAGAGCAATCTAGCTGGTCTAGACAAGCAGTCTTCTCACCTCTGGTCCTCACACTTCTCGTAAGACTTGACTTGTGTGTGGAACTTGAAAAATGGACTTGATAAACACTTTTTCTCCCCCTGTCTTTTTCTCCTTAGCCAAGTGTAACTGTAGCAACTGAAAATCTTTGCATGAGATTTACCTTGGTAAATCTGGACCTGTGGGTTGGGGGTTCAGGCCAGTTCCTTCCTGCCTCAGTCATTGTTAACCCTGTAGTACTGAGTGTTCCATTCCCACGTTAGAAGCTTCGGAGCAGAGGAGAGGACCAGAAGTTGAAGTGAGAGTGTTGTGATAGGGTGGGAGGTAGAATTAGATGCTTTCTAGTAGAAAGATGCAGACATGTTCAACTGAGGAAGAGTCTCTCTGCCTTTCCCTGTCTTGTGAGAGGCTTTGGCAGTCTCTCTCCCCTTCCATGTCTAGTTTTCTTTCTTTTCTTTTTTTTAACCTTTTTTTTGAGATGGGTCTTGCTATGTAGTCAGGCTGGCCTTCAACTCACTATGTAGCCCAGAACTCATTGTGATCCTCTTGCCTCAGCTTCTGAGCACTGGGATTACAGATATGCGCCACCATACCTGGCTTCCCCTTCTATTTCTAATCAGTGGTCTGAACTTGTTTTCAGGAAAGTTCTGGGATCAAGCCAGCTTCTTGGTTTTTTCTTTTACCCCAAGTCCTTTAGGACCTGTCTTCTGCTTCGACTGTAGCTTTATGTCCTTCCTGGCCTCTGTGGCTCATAGGAAACTTCTGGAAGCTTTCTTTAGTCATTCCTGCCCTTCTCACTAGAAACCATAACTCATTCTAGGCGCTGTGGGAGTCCCCAGTGGAACAATGAGGGTAGTGCAGATCATCAGCTGTCTCTGACGATGGTATTGTTTTCTCTTAGTGAAGCCCTTCCAGATACTTGTGGAGGAAAATGAGGACAAAGTGTTCGTGGGTTGCAATACCAGTGTCATATGGCTAGATGGAACAGAAGGGACAGAGAGAGCAAACTATACCCGTCTGGACTTGGGAAAACGCCTCCTGGATCCACGAGGATTATATAAGTGCATGGGAACAGATGCCAATGCCAACAAGGAGTCTATGGTGCAAGTATATTATCGAAGTATGTGCCTCCTGGACCCTCTGCTGGGGCCTCTGGATGTGGGAAATTTCTGGCTGGAAGGGGATGCTGTGAACCAAGCTATTCACTAAACAAACTGAGGCCACTCTTGCAATGGTATTAGCCAGATTTAGGAAGCTGCAGAGTGGAAGCAAGTGCTAACTTAAGCCAGGCAGAGAGGTACAGGTCTTGTTCCTGCAGGCTTGGCTGGGGGAAGGTGTAGCCCACCACCTAGTTAGAGGTCTCCCTGGTGGAAAGGATTTCTTGATTTCTCTGCAGGAATTCCTTGGGATGAGGACAAAGAGATGGGAGTGGCAAGACCACCAGCAGCCTTTTTCTCCGCATCTTATTGAAGTTTGAGTTCTCCTTATGTGCAGTCCTAGGGCAGCCCCCGAAGGCAGGGTCACTCTCCAATCTTGAAAGCTATCAAGCCCTCCCCTCTCTGTCTTTTTCCACAGTGTGCCAGAGCTGTGTAGAGCTGGACTCTGCCACCCTTGCTGGCATCGTCATCACTGACATCATCGCCACTCTGCTCCTTGCTTTGGGAGTCTATTGCTTCGCAGGACACGAGACGGGAAGGCTCTCTGAGGGTTAGTGGAAGAGCAGAACCTATGCATGTGTGTTCATGTGTGCGCATGTGCGCGTGTGCATGCTTTTGAGCTCCTGCACCAGCTGAATGGTCTCATCTGGGAGTGACTCTTGCAATGTCTGTGCACTCCTGCCACAGTGCACTGAAAGTGGGGCTGGGGATATAGCTGAGTGGCATAAGTGCCTGCCTGGCAAGGACAAAGTCCTGGAACCCTGAATGCCGGCCCTGGAACCAGCTGTGGTGGTGCACGCCTGCCTTTCCAGCACTGGGAAGGCTGAGACAGAAGGATCACTGTGAGTCTGAATGTGCAATGAAACCATATATATA